TAATTTTTCTCTTTTCAATGCATCTCAAATTATGAACAACTTTGCTCATGTTATGAAAGTAGAAAGAGAAGAGAAAAGAGAAACTATATATTGAATTGAATAATGAAATACAAGAAGCATGTATTTATAGGCTGAGAAGAAACATAGATAAGTATAGAAAAGGAGATAAAGATACATTAGAGATAATTATAGAAAAAGAGATGAGATACATCTATAATACAGATAGATAATTATAAAACAATCATATATATATATATATATATCTAACAGCTTATCTTCACAAATTTATATTTGTAATTACAGTTCGTCCTAAGAAATTTGCTAAAATAATTCTCTTTTTCTTGTTTGTTGGGTTCATTTAACAGTTTTTTTCTTATTAGTATTTTATTGACAATTTCTTGCAGAACCAATTACTTGCAATGAATTACATACATGAGGGAACAGATGATAACATATGGGTTAAGAACAATTTTAAGTCGAAAGATTACTCAATTAATGATATTCATGCCAATCTTTATCAAGTGAGAATTGGCAACTGAATCATAAAACTGAGGCAGCAGTGGGAGTGTTGGTTGCTGTTCTGTTCTGTTAATGCTGGTGCTATTTTCTTTTTATTGTTTTCTGTTGGTGTCTTGCCAACATTTAGTGTGTCAACCTAGTTGAGATATGTTCCACTAGCAATGATGCAATGTTATCACCAAACTACTGGATTTGAAAACAATTCAAATTTGCAGATGTTATAATAGCAGTTAGTGTTTCGATAATGATACTTCTCCAACTCCGGCAACGTTCACGCATTCCATAGCTATAGCAAACATGCAATTTCCAACACATTCTGTATTGAATAATTGCATACCATTGCAAATAATAAAGCCTTTTGTCTTGAGTACAATTCTATAGCACAATAAATGTGTTCTTTAATACTATCAACTATTCTCTTAGCCCTTCTGCCTCTTTCTATCCATGCAGCTGTAACAGCTTTTATAAAAGACCTTATTCTATCCTTTTGAGGGGCAAAAACTAACAAAATAGTTACTAAAGCTAGACACAGCTTAGTTGGGCCAATTGTAGAAGACTTGCATAGTGCCTATCCAGGCCTATTCAATTGAGGAATAAAGGCTATTTCTCATGAATGATGCAAGACAACATGCTACTGTCCTCTTCAAGTCTTTTGTTGGCCTTGGTTGGATTCTGTTCCACTTATTTTGAAGAAGCTCTACTTCTGTATAGATTGTACCTTCTTTACTTGAGTAAGATATAGGTGTGTGTGCGTGTATATTCAGTTTGGTTTGGGACCTTGAGTAAACTGACCCTGCAATCCATAGCCAAACAGCCTTTTTTTTTTCTTTTTTGAAGTCAAACTTTGAACTGGGAGCAAAACAGAAGCACTGATGAACAGAGCCAAAACAAGCCAATCAGGTTTTGGTTCATATTCTAGCTTTCACCAAGAATATGTAGAATGTGGCCCTTGTAGAGGTCAGTACTCTGATTTCTTTGGGTGAACTAACACTTCAACTAATAACTGATATCACATATGACATACCAAAGCCACAGCTTTTAATTCAAGGTAGTGAATTTTCTTAATTGCAACTTCAAACTGCACTAAGTTCTCCATTTTTCTGAGTTCCCATTTGGGAACATTTCAGCTGCATGCTATTTTTCTTTCTGCATTGGACAGTTGAACCTCACCTAATATAAACATATGAGTCTCCTTTCCCTTCCAAAGATGAGGCTTATTTTTAAGGGGATAAATTTACAAATGTTGGCAACCAGTATGCTGCTGCTGAATAAGAGTTGTGGAACTTGCTATAATGGCCAAGCAAATTGACTGTATGATCATAGTCTGGGTGAGTGCAATTTCTGCGAGCTGCTCCAGAATTTGGTCATAATCCTATAGCTTACCTCCAACTCAAGAATCAATATGAGACATGCCCTTAGAATCTCCCATGAGTTGATTGATTCTTCCTTCACTTGTAAAAGTTTTGACTAAATTTTTCTAATTTTTAAAATTGTATAGTCGAAAAATGGACCTAAAAAGTACATAGATAATTTTTTTTTTTTTTTAAACTAAAAAAGAAAGAGAATATTTTGGTCTTATCACAAAAGAATTAAATTCATGCCAAGCAAACATTCATTACTTGTTTTGATTTCTATGCAAGTGGAGGTAGTTGGCTTCATTTAATACATTCTAACTAGTGCCACTTGTCAACAAAACCCCTCTAAAAAATTAGTAAAATGGTAAAAGCTTGGCACTAAGAGTGAGAACAAGGGTTTGAGTACAAGTGCAGCTGGGTAGGCACTCTGCAATTAATGCTAAAGGATAGGTCTATGATTAGTTCACCTAGAACTAGGAATGGCCTGTTTTATGGATCATCTTGAGGGGCCTAACTGTCATTATTATGAACTAGTAAAACCTGCTTCATGGTTAAAAATTCTTTTGCATGGTTTTTAATTCTTGAATGTTATGGAAGTGTAAGCCTACATTATGTTCGTGTAAATTTCATTTTACTGATGTGTATTCTTTTTTGTAAGATTTCTGATTTCAAAAGTAACCAAATGCCGCTATGATGAATCAAGAGTTAATAGATAATGGAAATCGGATGATGGATGAGGCTGATCAAGCCATTGATAGGTCAAAAAAGGTTAGTATATCTATTCTGCTCCAGTCAACTCAACAAGCCTTATACCAATTGCCTTTGGTTGCTTCGTATGTCTATCTTCTCCAGCTAACTCTATGTAAAGCTATGTATTGATTAAAGACTTAAAAAGTCCAAACTTGGCTTGACCCACATGTAATTGTTTTGGAGCCTTCAATTTGATTCGAGTCACTCTTTTATGCCTATGCATTAGTTAACCTACAATGCACAAGGGCAAAGCCATCTCAAATGGCATTCCCCCACTTTATCTTCAATCTGTGTCACTACTAACATAATTTGATTTTAAGTTTTATGTTGGCTTTTTGGTTACCCACAACCCTCTTCCCCCTCTACGGGCATGGGATGGGTTTTCTGAAACCCCTCTTGTATCACTAATGGCACCTGTTGCCGTTACTACTACTACAGCTTGGTGCTTTCCTTCAGAAACAATCATTTGATCTTTTGCTGGTTTGCTTGTATCAATTTTGGCTAACTCAGTGAGGTTCAGTTATCTGTCTTCGAGTGGTATAGGAATCATTGGACATTTAGTTTTATCTTTTTTATTTACTTAGGGAGACTGTTATTCTGCAGTAAAAAAATTGCATTGGTAGCCCCCTCCTTCACCCATGTGTCTCACAGTGACACATGTGAGAGAAGGCTTTGGATTAGCCCCCTCCTTTCTTTATTATTGATATAATTAGCTGCCTTTCCTTTTTTACTTTTGATGATAGGCTGGCAAGTTAACCAGAGTTAGTTAACTTTTGCTACATATTGTTGAAACACCTACATTTGGCAATGCCCAGAAAGCTAGCACGTATCTAAAAGTATGCATTTGTTATCTCTGTCTTGATATTCTAAGTTACAATTAAAAATGATAAAAAAGAAAGTTATGTTGCGAATAATTGTAGCTGACCTATCTGAAGACTAAAATTTTCTCAACTTGTGCGATGAACTTGTCTGTGGTTAGAGGTGCTCATGGATAACAATTGTTCTAGTTTACATTTTTTTTTTCTATGCCACATCATATACCTGCTAATGTACCTCCAGTTTTTAAATTTGTTTGGTAGTGCTAGCAACATCTTCCTGTCAATCTCATTTGGTTTTGGGTCTTGGAAGCAATTTGGTGTGGAATTAAAAAGAAATAAATAAATGATGATGGTTTTTCTATCCAATAACTTGAACCTGAATCCTGATAAAGATTTTTCTGGTGTTACCGATGTGAAGCAACACCACCAAACTATGCACATTTTGTTTAATATATGTAAATTAGTGACTCTCCCAAATGTGCCCCACCAAGAGAGAAAGAGGGGGAGGCGGTGGCGAAATTACTTGTAAATCTTCAAAAGCTTGTTTTTTGTAATAGGCTGTCCATGACACAATTAATGTTGGAACCGATGCGGCAGCAGTTCTGAAGGCACAGTTACATTGTTAGACTAATTTGAGAAAGAAAGTTGACAGCTTCTAAAATTTAGGTGTGAGAATTGAAGCATCATACTTCTTTTATGTTTAGACTGAACAAATGAGTAGAATTGTTAATGAGTTGGATTCTGTCCATTTCTCGATCAAGAAGGCTTCTAAATTGGTGAAGGAAATTAGTAGGCAGGTCAATCTCTAAATTATTCACATCTCTCTTCTCTGATGTAATTAATTATATTGTAAATGATTTTTTTTTGGTTTTCTTTTTGCAGATGCAACCCTTTT